GCTGGGAATATGCCGGATCTGTAAATGGACTAGTAGTTACAGGTTACTCCAAACATACATTAAATTAGTAATTAAGAACTTCACCATTTTTGTTCACTAGCTAGGGTTGGAACTTGGAAGCCGCTAATTAAGCATGTGATAGTGAATTAACTATTACTGTTTTCTGACTTTGTTGCAGAGCAAGAAAGGTTAAACTATAAGACTCCCATGTGACTCAACACAGAGATTCCAAATCAATCATTAATCGGTTACATAATCAGTAGTTTCTGGTTTCTTTCATGATCTTTTTGTTCATGTTAACTACTTAACATTATAGTTGGGAATTAATTAAGCCATATTGCTTATTTCTCTCATCTAAACCAACTCCCACTAGTGAGAACCTGAAGAAATCCTAGATTTGGCTAAGATCATCTAACTAGTGCCACCCTATAAGCGTAATTATAAAATTGCATGGTACTATTATTTTTAACTAACTAGCTTGGCATAGCTGGATTGTGAGGAAGATTTGAAATTCCTTTGATTCCATATGATTCTTCATAGATTTATTATCGACCGACCCGACCAATTAACTTGTTCTTCTCTAAATAGATTGAATACTATGAGGTACTTTGGAGACGCACGAAACACCAAAGAGCAGAGAAATCAAGCTTACTTCGTTCATGGGAATAAGCATGCACATGTACATGACGTGCCAAATACTTAAGGAGGTAGCTAGTTTGGGGACGACAACAGTTGAGACATGATATATCTTCGTAAACTTCGAAGGGAGTGCGAAAGCCGAGAGAGTGATTGATCAAATAACAGGCAACCAAAATAGCATGGCTCAAAGATAATTGGAAACCAACTTCTTTACATATCCAAGAGCAAAGACCAAGCCACTTCAAGTAAATGACGACGATTCTTCGTTCAGACATGTCATTTTGTTGGGACGAGAACGGAATAATCCTCTCATGAATAATACCTTGTTGACAAAAGAAACAACTCAAGATATTATTCCCATATTTTCCAACGTCAGCTGATCGGTGCACTTTAACTTGGGTCTGAAATTGAGTAAACATCATTGCACATAATTCTGGAAAAGTCATTTTTGATCTTCTTCGAAAACATCCAAGTAAATCTAGTACTGTTATCTATAAACGTAACAAACTAATGAAATCCATTATCATAACCTTCGTGGGACCCCACACTTCAAAATGTACCAAATCAAATGGCAAAAGCAACTATAATCACTTAAGTAGCATGATGATTCTTAGTCAGGATATAAATTTTTAAACCTGAGCTCCAAATCACTACAACTACGAAACAAGAACAGGAACAAGTGCTTCAAATAACTAAAAGATGGACGTCTCTAATGACTATGCCAGAACCAAGTTTGCTGTTTGTTTTCCACTTTGGTATTGTAAACCTTAGAATTACTTGATTCTAATCTAAGATGTACAAACCCCTAACTTTCTTACCACGACCAATTGAGTTTTGAGCTAAATGAGCAAAACAATGTACACATTTTTAAGTTGACCTAGGTATAAAAGTTGCTTTCATCAATCTCCTCTACATGCTATGTAATTTGTTTGAGCATTCTTGACAAGCATAATTTTGATTTAATTCTAATACTCTCTTATGCTATTTGGAGCGCTAGGAATACTATGCTTTGGTCAGGTAAATGTGACCCCCTTGACATCGTGGTATCTCACAACATCTCCTGGTGGCAAAACTTCCAACTTGCCTCCACTCCTACTTCCACTGCTAGCCACTCTTCAAACTCATCGACCGTGAAGTGGGTGAAGTCGAGGCCTGGTTTTTTGAAACTTAATGTGGACGGAGCTTGGAATGCGAACCGTCTCATTGGTGGTGTAGGTGATGTTCTCCAAGACATTGCAGGCAATTTTGTAGCAGTCTTAGCTAAGTCTTTCCCTCACATTCCTTATCCTCTCTTTGCTGAGGCTTTGGCAGTCAAGGAAGGTCTTGCCTTGGCGTCTTCCTGGGGTCTTCACAGTATAGATATTGAGAGCGATTCGCTCCAGATCCCCAATCTTTCTGATCTTCTTCGTCAAACCTTTCTCCTATTGGTCTCATCGTCGAGTACTCTAGAGAGCTTTCCTTGGGGATCACTACAGTTTGTTTTAACCATATAATACTACTACAAAAGTACCCAGTAGTGTCATTTTAAAAAGCAACAAGAAAAATCCATTCCTATCGGATATTAAGGAAAAATTCAACAGAAACTCATGTAATGGCGGATAGAAGAACCGACAGCATTGCTAGCATCACAAAAAGGCTTTTGTTGTCGGTTAGTTCCCTTAATCCATCAAGAAAAAAGAAAGAATTTACAAATAAAAAAAGGACAGTAGTGTCGGATAAAAGTGGCATTGAAACTCCCGTCGGATGATAAAAAAGCAGATTTGTGTCGCTCATAATCGACACCACTAACCATTAATAATTAAAAAAATATAAAAAGCCTATTCCAGTTTTTGATTAAATAAAATAAATAATTAACGGAAGCTAAAAACACAAACCAATTTAACAAAGTTCAAAATTTCAGTAAATCATAGAATATAAACTAAAACCCAACTAACAAAGTCCAGCTTCGCAATAAATTATAGATTCTAATACAAAAACCAACTAAGAAAATTCAAGAGCAGTTAATCGAATTTGCAAAAAACTATGGATTTTCAAATAAAAAAATTTCACTTTTGTAGTAATTTTCAAATCAAAACAAAACACAATAGAAAAAAAAAATCACTTAATGCATCAACTCTAAATCAAAATCTAATCTAAAAGAAAAAACAAAGAAAAACAAAAACTCAACTCTCAAATTTACCTGATAGAGGCAAAGATTAAACCCAAGTATCTATTTGTGAAGAAATCTAAAACAACCAAATTACCAGTCATTCAATCGAAATTAATCAAACCCAAGTATCGATTTCCATCCATAAAGAGACAGAAAGGATGTTAGAGTTGTAAGGATTCTTGTTGAGCAACTGCTCCACTGTGACGCCACCTATTGCTGCTGTAGAACCAATCTCCACATCCTTTGAAAGCCAAAACCTTTTAAATTCGTGACTTGAGGACCAAACCCAAAAAGAAAATTTCAGGGATGGGCAAGAATACCAGAGAAAATTCTAAATATTTTCTGTAAAAATGGTTCATTTTTTCTTTTGGAAAATAAATAGAGAAAAAAAGAGATTAAAAGTTTTGAGGAGTGGAAAGAGAGTCACAGGGATGCTTCGAATGTAGGGTGAAGAAAGATGAAGGGAGAGCGGTGCTGTTTCGAAGGTTGGTGAAGGAGAAAGAAACAAGGAGGGAGAAGCGGCGCATGAAGGAAATGGGGGAAGAGAAGGCTTTATTTAGGGTGGAAAACTAGCGTCGGACAAAACTGACAGCATATATTATTTCCATCGGTTAAAACCAACACCACCCTGCGCCCACTGACATCACTTTGCCTAATTTCACGTGCAAAACTAGCGGGAAAATTCCCCGTCCAAATATTTGATGTCAATTACGTCGGATAAAACCAACATTATGCTATGTGGCGCAACTTTGAAAATATTTTAAAAAAACAAAAAACAAAAAGCAAGTCATGTCAGTTATAAGCTATAGTACTGCCAAGTTTGAAAATATTTAAGAAACGAAAAGCAAGTCTTGTCGGTTATAAGCAACAATATTGCTTTGTTATCCGACATCATCTAAACAGCTTGTCAAAAATGTCTTATCCGATAGTACATTGTATAAAACCACCACCAGTCTCCGACACAATAAGCCACTTTTGTAGTAGTGTAAGATGTCAAGCAAATGAAGTTGCTCATCGACTTGCCTGTTTCAATCTTTCGTCCGGCAACCCTTCTATGTGGTTTGAGGAACCACTAGACTTCATTTTAGATGTTTTATTTGTAGATTGTAATTCTGAGCATTGACTGTTCCCCCTTTTGTAATCTTCTTTCCCTTATCAATATATCTCTATATCGCCTTTGGTTCAAAAAATAAAAATAAAAATTGTTTGGTTATTGGTAAAATTTAAAAATTTAGTTTTCAAGACCCAAACTAAAGAATGTGGCAACTTCTGTGTCCAACTATGGTAGAATTTCGCATATGGATAATTTTCCCTATTTTTATGGTAAATTGTGGATTTTAGTAGAACTCAACTTAAAACGATGTCTCGAATCAAGGGTTAAAGGTAATTCAAGCTAATGAGATAGACATCAGATGGAAAAGTGTTGAACTCATCGAGTTCCTGAGAGGAACTTAGCTCTAATTCTAATGGTGCAAGTTGTGATGATTAAAGTAACATGATAGTTTATGATCTAGTGATATTTCTCTTTACTTGTAAGTGAGAAATATTAGGTTTGATTCTCACCAAAGGTAAATTTGAACCATATTATCATCAGTTCATTGTAAGACAAAGCTCACCCCCTCCTCTTCCTCTCCTCTAGTGTAATAATATCGTTTGTTCAAGGAAAAAATGATAATAATTTATACCCCTAATGTGTTTTTTTATTTTTTTTTGGGATTGTATTCTTGAAAAACGGAAGAAATATCATTTAGGGTTCCCAATTAGACATGTTAATAAATCAGGTTTTGATCTGGTTCGGTAATAGGAATATATCCGAATACGGAAGGCTAATTCGATTCGAAAATAATTACTATAACACATGATCTTATACAAATTCATTTTTTTTTTTTTTTTCAAAAGGAGACCGTTTGGTTCCTTTACATATTTATTTCTATATTTGGAAAACGAAACAAATTTTTGAAAACGTTCCCAACCATACCTTAATTTTCCTATTTTATTTATGTTATTATTATTAAGAGTTTTCAAAACTAATTAAGTACTTTAATTGGGTCCTCCCAGCAAATCCAAAACGTTTGGGCCTGAAGATTGTGATCGAAATGCCTAAAGTTCAACCCAAATTTAATTCGGATACGAAAAATAAACTTGTCGGCCAAATTTAAAGCCGAAGCCCACAGCCTTTTTCCTGTATAAATGACCAACTCAAAACTGCAACGGCAAGCTTTCGCAACACGGGACCAGTTTGAAATCGTAACTGTAAGCTTTCTTCTGCTTATATAACTCCCCCCCAACTCCCTTCCCTCCTCGACCCCTCTCTCTCCCCTCTCTCTCTCTCTCTTGATTTCAAATTTTCAAGATCTAGACTTAGGTTTTGTGTCGAATTCCTAAAAGGCTCCACGAAAGGCAAAGCTCGCGACTTTCGGACATTCTTCACGAACGTTAGCCCCTGCACTTTGCTTTCTTTTTCTAGGGTTGTTGTAGTCTTGGACATTTTTGCACATGGACTATGATGTCTCCGAAATCAGTGGTGAGAAAAGTTCGAACCTTTACCGTTTTCTCTAATCTGGGTCATTTTCTTAACGGATTTCGGGTAGTGGGTTAGGGTTTAATTTGGATAATTTGTACAATTGGGTTTCGTTCAAGCCCTGCGGAATGCGGAGTGGGTTTTTCTGCAAATTAGGGTTGTGGGGGTTGTTGGGTTTGTTCGAATTGGGGAGGTTGAGGTTATAATTGTGTGATTTTGTTGGTGTTCGTCTCTGGGTTTTGTTTTTGGGAATTTGGGTTTTGGCAATGCATGGAATTAGGGTTTTGACAGGTTTCTTTTGCTCTCTATGTGTGAAATACTTAGGGGTTTGGAATTCTTACGTATTGTAATAGTGATTGTTGTTGCGCAAATAGTGAATAAAGAGAGAAGAAAAATTACTGTAAAACATTTTCTGCTATCTGTTTGTAAAGGGGTTACAAATTACTTAGGCTTGCCAACTCAAAGTGACTCGTAAGTACATTTTTTGTAACTCCTTTCATTTTTCCCAAATATAATGATCATTATGGATACTGGATAGAGTGGAAGGAACTGAAGATGGGATAAGGAATGAATTTTACCATATTCACAGATTGATAATATAATAATCGTAATTTGTACGTGTAAATATGTGTGTACGTGAGATGCATGGATATCAACGATGCAAGTGTTATTAAATTCCCATACTGCATTTGTTTTGTTTATGGACTACTTGAAACAATTGTTTGTTGCCTTTGTCATCTAAGTAAACTTACGAGAACTATGTACCAAGCAAGTTCCCAGCAGTTCTGCCTTAATTTTGTAGTCAGAGAATTGAATGCGAGCCAACTAAGATTGAATTCTTGTGAACTTTAGACAATTTTGTTTTTCTCGAGTTGGTGCTTAATAACAGATTCAACCCAAGTAGTCGCAGATTTTCATTGCAAATTGTTAACTTTCTCAACAAAACGTGTAATCCTTAATTTGATAAATATACAGATTATAAATTACCTCTATTTTTTTTTTTTACTTATGTTCAGGGTAAATATACCTTGCAATCTATAGGTTTGGAAGACTCCCAAATGGATATGGTGCCAACTTTCATCTTGATAATCTGCGCTGTTAGTTGTGTCTAAACAGTAATGGTTATCCTCTCTTCTGAGGTAAAGTTACGGGTGACAGATTTCTTGTACGATCTCTATAACTTTATATGGAATAACTGCAGGCACTGATGATGATCTTCCTCCATCTCATCAAAACAGAATTCCTCGAGGGGGTAAAGTCTCAGGAAACGAAAGATCAGCTGTAGGTTCTATCTCATTTTCTAGGATGTATACAGACATGGATGCTGAAATTCATCACCTTGAGCAAGAAGCATACTGTGCAGTCCTAAGGGCGTTTAAAGCGCAGTCTAATGCGATTACTTGGGTATTTATGGTTGCATGTCACTGTGCTTGTTATCTTGAATCCTTGTTATTGTTTGTATATCAACCTTTAATATTTATCATGGGTATGTACATCAGGAGAAGGAAGGTTTGATTACTGAACTTAGGAAAGAACTGAGAGTATCGGATGATGAACACAGAGAGCTTCTGACCATGGTTAATTCTGAGGACATCATCGATAAGATAAGGTAAGTCTCTTGAAAGTTGAAAAAGATGTAGCAGAGTGACTCATATATTGGCCGGGAGTTTAGTATTATACTTTTTAATCGTCACATGTTTGTATCAGAGTGTGGAGAGACAAAGGTGGTCATCAAGCTGCTAGGCTTACTTCATCTCAGAATGTGTATGAACTTTTACCTAGTCCTAGTATTTCAGCGTCCCGAAAGAAACAGAAAACATCACAATCGGTAACTTTACAAGCATTCCGTCTTGCAATGCTGGCTTTAAATTAGCACTTGTTTTGCAGCCCTTGTGTTTAAAAGTAATTTAAGGAGCTCATTTGAGCCATGAGGAAAGTCAATTATAAACTTAAAGTAATCATTATGGTTGTGTGAAGAAAAACATTTAATTCACCTTAGTTGTGTTTGTTATTCTTAGCATGGTCAGCCATTCCCTGGTTTATCCTCAATGAAGTCCATGAAATACCCTTCAACAGGACCTGTCGGAAGTAGACAATTCACCCGCAGTTCTTCTGGTCCCTTTGTTGAAGCGGCTGAAGCAGAAACGTCTGATTCATTAGTTGGAAGGAAAGTGTGGACAAGGTGGCCTGAAGACAACAGCTTCTATGAAGCCGTTATCACTTACTACAACCCGGCAGAGGTAGGTTTGAAGTCTCTATAAGATGTTTCTGATTCAGTCCTTCTGTAACAACATTAGTTGTTTTGAATTTGTAAGTTTAGTTTCTGGTAACATGCACATGTCAGAGTGAAAGAAGCATAGATGAAAGTTCGCCGAGTTAATAGGTATTATTAGTGGTATACTTCCAGTTTGGTGTTTTATTTTTTAATTTATCTTAGATGGGGTTGTGCTCCTACTAAATTTGATATGATAGAAGCTAGAAATTCTCTTAAATTGCATAAGTGAACACTGTACCTTGTAATACCAATATGGAGAGTTGTTTCGTTTGTTATAGGTTCAGTTGACTCTAAATTAAAAATGAATAACGTAGACATTTTTTCTAATTAAAAGTTGATGACTTCTAGTCTGAATCGCCTTGTCGGTGTCAGATCTTAATATTGTTTTGCCTCCTTTTTAAAAACATGCAATAGTCTTGCAACATAGTTTGAATGATTGAACCACAGTAGTTGTCAATGGTACGTGACGTTGATATAAATTTAACATTAAAGATACATCCACTTGACATGTTTTCGTGCTCTTAGCCTGACGTTTAAATGACCCGTGTTTTGATTTTCTATCATGCGTCAGATTCTTCAAACATTCAAATAAACTTGTATTTTTTGCAGGGTCGACATGCTTTGGTCTATGACATACATACACCAAATGAGACATGGGAATGGGTTGATCTTAAAGAGGTGAGTCTATAAGTTCTATGTGATGTGTGCATCTATTCCACTATGACATTAACCTGCTAATATTCCTGTAGCTATTTGTCAAACCGAATCATTAACCGAAAAGTAGGAACCACAAGGAGAATGCATAAGAGATATAGAGTTAGAGCATTTATTTCTTCTGCTAACCTTTTTAATAATAAGCAGATGTGTACATCTTATACCAGCATCTTAGCCCTTGATTACATAAACAAACCTATATAATTGCAGCCCTCCGGTATAATTAAAAACTGCTCACCGGCTTTCATTGACTATTTATTCTTGGCATATATACATTTTCCACATTGCTGGTTTTAATCATATTCTTCTATATTGTTTATGGTAATCGACAAAGTTCTATCCCGAGAAATGAAGACTTCATGTTTTATTTTTAAAAAGGGGATGGGGATTCCATTGACTCGTTACTGATTACAGATCTCTCCTGAGGATATCTGTTGGGAAGATCCGGGCCCATCAGGACGCAGGGCTAAGAAATCTACGAGCCATACCACAAGAAAGCGAGGACCCACAAAGTCTCAATCAAAGAAAGAACTTCCGTCGCAAAATGGTATAGCGAAGGCACCAGATGATTTAGAATTATTAAATACTGATACCCTGGTGAAGGAGGTATGTATGATGAACTTTACTAGGTGTTGAGCCCACCGTATCTGAAATTATGTTCGTTATTTTCATTTCGCGGCTTTGAATTTTACCAGGTGGAGAGAGTTTTCAATGCAAGCGAGCCAGATCCTTTTGAGCTCGAAAAAGCAAGGAAAATTCTGAAAGTAATATTAATTCCTTTACTTTCTCTCCCGTTTCTCCCATTCTTAAGTTAAAATTCCAATTTGACACTTATATGTATCAAACGCAGGATCACGAACAGGCCCTTGTTGATGCCATTCAAAGGCTGGCATATGCATCGGATGGTGAAAGTGGTAATAGATATATGTGTACATAATTATCATTGATCACTCTGTTTTACATTTCTTTTTTCTTCTCCTTTGAGCTCAAATAAGTTAAGCGGCCAATTGTTGTACCGTCTGGAGTTTCCGGTATGCAAGTTAGTTTTTAACAGCAGATTGGAATTACTCATTAGTAGTATTTGCAATACTGCGCCTTTTTTCGGCCTTGTAATCTTGTAGTTGATTAAAATGAAAATAACCCATCACCTAACAGTGTACAAAATGACTGAGAATCAAGACTCGTAAATAAAATGTATTCATAAAGATGGGTGGATTACTCGGCTTTTAATTATATGAGCATCACACTAGATCCAAACAGACGTTATGACCGTGATTTGTGATTAAACTGCTTGAATTCTGCTTATTCTTTGTAATTTTTCTTCAAAGCAGATAGAGAGCACACATTTCTGCACAGTCGATCAATGGATGGATAGCAGTGGGAACAAGTATCGTTGTTGAAAGCATCAGAGTATTGACAGAGTCCACAACAGGATGATCTATGGCTGGTACCCTTTGGAGGTAGCAGGAATCCAGGTGGTGATCGAATTTATTAGGCACATCCAAATGTGAAAACATCACGATTTAGTGTTTCACATACGGCAAGAAGTTGAGGAGGTACCTGTTAGATTGTTGCTCAAATGTAAAGTTGCTTATAGCAAATGACATCAAGAACTTGTCCTGATTCATTCCCTCCTGTACGAAGCTGGAGATTTATAGCTTACGGTGTTGATCACTTGTAGCGTGTTTAAACCGCGTGCATAAATCCTGCGAAGAAAGCAAACAAATTCGCATTCGTGGAAAAATATCACTGAGGTTAAACTCAGATCATCGTGTAAAAATTCCATCTGGTTTCCCTTGATATGGTGATGATTAAATTGATAAATACCTGAACACGAAGCGATTATCGGACTGAATTGTTTGCTAATGCGATTAGTGGGGTTTACTACACCAAGTAGTTGCCCGGAGCTTGCCCTCGTGAAATTGGTGCATCCATCTTGGGTGCCGGTAGAGCCAGAGATGCAAGCACCCTGCACAAACAAATATCATAGGATGAATAAACGATTTAAGTTCATCGTTGTTGAAAGGGTGAGCTCTAATTACTGTTGAAATCCAGGCTGAGGTTTTTCATTCATCGATGAACATGTCAAATCAAAACACAAACCGTACCATATTTGTCAAAAGAAAACACAAACAGAAACATATTTGTCAAAAGAAAACACAAATCGTAACATTTTTTCATTCATCGATGAACATGTCAAATCAAAACACAAACCGTACCATATTTGTCAAAAGAAAACACAAACAGAAACATATTTGTCAAAAGAAAACACAAATCGTAACATATTTCGTGATTACATCGACATTCAAATCGTACGAACTATACCCTTTCAAACCGTAACATATTTCCATATACTCTGTAAATGGATGTTGATGCAAGAAGGATGCTAGAAACATGGCTATTCTGCTCTCCAAAGCAAAAGAAAAATTGGATACACAGATTTAAGTTGAGTACACCGATTATAAAAGAAACAATTGTTCTACTACTGTAGAAGTACTACCGATGAACTAAGTACGGTTTCATGAATAACTTGTATAAACATAGTATTCAAAGGCATTCTCGATAGTGAAATACAAATGTCCAAACTACCTTAGAGAATCATACACCATCAGCAAACTGGATCCCAAAGGCACAAGTTGAAAGAGACAGCTAGCAGAAAGTCGAAAGACCAAACCAGGTCTGCATTAAGCAGCTAAACTTGTCTCCAATTTGCAACCAAAATCTAATAAAATGGTTTTTTGAGAAGAAATCTAATAAAATGGTTTAACCATCAAGGGTCCTGTGAAACAACAGAATGTCCTGTGCGCAAAAAAATTTTGAATCTTCTACTTCATACCAAAACATTAAAACAATCAACACAACGATCGGTTGGAGGAAAAGACATGAACTTACACTAATCACATGAAGTTTCTACGAATCAAATCAATCACAAAATGCACTCTACAACAGAAACTGTCAAATTATCAGAGACACGGGCCAAAGGCTCACTTCTAACAACACCGATATTGTCCCCAACTTGGTGATTACCACCTGCAGTATCCATCAAGTGTGGACTTTTATCACAAAATGTCTCGGTATTAGTTAGAGTGAGGTTAGGATATTTAAACTCTTCTTTCCTCAGAGATACGATCGATGTGAAATAAACAGAATCAACCCTCCTAGTGTATATTCTTCTACGCCAATAACACTTCCAAATAACATAACTCAACCAAACGCTGCGGATTACTAGTCTCATTCCTTCTTGTGTAAATGTCTTTGAAATAAATCAACAATTCAACATACACCAGCATACTACATATCCTACAAGGTAGCTCAAATGAGATCTTGTTCTTTCGGGACTCCGGGGTTTATAAGCATAAAACCCATCACCAGAAATCTATAATCTACCTTATTAGCATCTTAATCCAGACCTTAACAAGATCATAAACATCTCAGCAGCTCCAGTTAAAATTCAAAACTTGATTATAATTTCGACATCTAAAACATCAATTGCACATATAAACAAACGGATCATCCACAAACCCCCAAAGACAAAGGAAAAATTGGAGGACCCCAAAATGCAGAGAAATATTAATCAACAGAAATGGCAAAGAAAAAAGCACACCTGCAGAAGAAGACACGAAAACGCAAACGAAATCTGATTCTGCAGATGAATTCTAAGAGACCCTTTCAGTTGATGCGAATCTGCCGGCGTTTCTGGTATCAAAGGCGACGGCTTTGAAGCCCCCATTTGAGCAGAAGGTTGGATATCTGGTTTTGGGATTCTTTGGGTTAGTTTTGAAAGGTCATATGGAATTCCTCTACCTCAATTGTCATGAAAAGAGTGTGTTTGTAACTGGCAAATGATGAGAGAGAGAGAGAGAGAGAGAAGGGGATGGGATTGGGGGATGACTTTGTTATGAAGGGATGATATCCACAACCACATTGTTTGAAGGATTTTTGTGTTGAATTTATAATTGCGTTTGACATTTTGACAAGAATACCTGGAATAAAAGGGTACCCCTTGAGGGAAGGAAATCCAAATGAAAGAAAGAGGTCAAGGTCCCCCATTAGAATCTGGCTTTTTATTATTATTATTTTCTTTTCTTTTCTCGTTTAGAAGAAATAAAGGAAAACATGGAGATTTTAATCAAAGCTTAGGTGACAATTTGTAAATTATGGCTAGGACAAGTCATTACTATACACAGAAGACGACATGACATCATTTTGTTATATAAACGTCATAATCAAAATCGTTTATTTTAGTTATCGTCTAAAAAGTACATCTTTAAAAGTCATTCTCTTTTGAAAAAAAAAATTATAAAAATTCATTAAAAGAAAACTGTTAAGCCATCTATATGTGTGGAACAAATCGACAATTATGAAAAAAAAATGAACCGTTTCAATTTTAAAGCGTAATGACACATTACATGTAAAAAATTGTTTTAACACCGAAACTTGTAACGATGGGTACCAATTAGATTGGGTTTGCTAACACAAAAGAAAATATTAATTAAATAATATTATTGTCAAACGCATGAGAATCTGTTTAACTAATTTTACCATCACACTTACATCTAGGGTTGGGTTCGGTTCGAAACGATTCGATTTTTTGCCAAAACTAAAATTTGAGTTCGATTCGGTTCAAATTTTTTTCGGTTGTTTTGGTTTGGTGTTTTTTAGTTCAGTTTCAGTTTTTTTTTTTTTTTTCAAAAAATGATGTAAATGGAAGGAACCTACCTAATGCCTATCAACATCCCAGTTCTCATATATCAGAGAATTGAGAGCCTCAAAATCCTAAATATATTCAAGTAATTCAACTACTTATGATCAAGCAAATCGAATTCAAATTTTCAAAACTTAAACGAATACAGAAACATATATTCTTCAATGAAATGTACATCACCAAGATTCAAAATTCTAAAAATTAAAAATTTGCAAAATCATGAAATAATTCAACAAATTAACTGATCGATGCAGATCAAAACAAAAACAAAGCAAATGGGTTCGTCTAAATGACATAATCAGACTCCAATATCGCATGCCCACATTCAAATTCAAAGTCAAGTCCACAATAGATCTAGAAAATTGCAAAACATATTCAGAGAAAAATACAAACTTTTCCACCTTAAATTACATAAATTTCAAATGGGTAACCATAAAATTAAAAACCCATAAACTGAAAAATAAATAAAACCCAACAAACGAAGATCAGAGATTGACGGTTTCAGTTCAAAGCCATCATGCTGTCTCTTCTTCTCTTGCCGAGGTAAAACTGAAGATGTAGGCGCTGCCAACTAAGACTAACCTCTTCCACCGTCAATTGCCCATCAGTCCCATATTGTGCCCCTGGACTGCCCCACTGCCATTGTGGTTTGGCTCTCCTCTTTGCTACCGTCGAAATCCACAGAGCATCTCCACTGGAGAAGACTGGAGAGATAGAGAGTGATTTAGAAGAAGAAAGGAGAGAGAGAGAGACTGAGGAAGCAAATTGTTAGGATCCTAGTTATTGGCTTTATATCTTTATGGTATTTTGTCTTATCCTAGTAGTAGTTGGGGAAATGTGTTCCAATCGGGGCACCCCTCCTCCAGGGTTGTATATAAGCCTCCTTTCACCATTTGAAAAAGGCATGACTGAAAAGAATTGTTATTTTATTGCCTACTTTCCTTGCATTTTCCTCTTCTTCTCCATTCCCACGAAATAGATCCTATCATCTGGTATCCAGAGCCCAAGTGTGCTTCCATGGGCAAGCGCACGGCATCGGTGCCCGTGACCGATGTTTCGAATGTGGCACTCGACCGGCAGTTTCGGCAACAGCACATCATCACTCAAATCCAGAACTTGCGTGCCAAGGTCACGCTGATGAACCTACGGCAGGATGCTTTGCAGCACCACCTCGCAGATCTGGCCATCCACCGCACTTAGCAGGAGCAACTCCAACAAACTTGTCTTTAGGAGCTCCGTTCTCTAACGAGCCAATCCACTACCATCCCTTAGCCCACATGGAGTACTTCTCCACCACAGGCCATCGCTACCTTCCACCCGTCGAGGACCCCTTTCACTGCTGGTCCTTCGTCCCCCTCTCCCACCACGCCGTCATTCCACTCCTATTCCCATCCCGTTGGTGATTTCCCCACCTCCAAATATTTACCCCAGTCCTCCAACAGCTCTGTTTTCCATCCATTTGACTCTGACCCATATTTCTCCCACCACTACCCGCCCCCTCCACCAACCCACGGCCCCAATTTCACCCACGCCTACTTGACCCTTCCCAATTCGCCCATGACCATTCCAGCTCCAGACTTACAGGGGCCGACGACGTCCACACCCGCCTTCATGGAGTTCACAACGGCATCGCTGGAGCCAGTTCTTCATCATGCGAATCTGGGCAAGCAAGTTCAACGTGTTACGAAATCCGTGTCTTCTCTGCGTGTTTGCCAAGACAGGTTGCAAACTCAGCCTACGGAATTAGAAGATGGGATAGAGTCTCAATTGGAGGGTTTGGATTCAACGCTTAAATTAAACATTTCCCGTGCACTTGAATCGACGCCATTAAACCCTTACCCGAGGCCGCTCATATACTCGCCGCCACTGACCTCTATTCCGCATTTGGAGTCAGTTATGAAGGCTCCTAGCTCTTTCTTTGCCGTCTCGATTTCCTCAATTTCGCCAGAAATTGGGTCTTCGCCCAGTCTCCCTGGGCACTCGTCAAACTACACCACCAAATGTCATTGTGTCAATGTTTGGCTCTCCTTCATCGCCCTTTGCCTATACTATTCTGCCTTCTCATGGGCCGTCGTTGGTCCCGAATTCCACCAAC